CATCAGCTAGCCATACCCTTGCTGGGATTTGAACCTGGGCTATATTACATACTATGCAAACATCTTAGCCATCAAGCTCTTATCCGTTATCAGCGAAGCCAGGGTGAAAGGTAACTATTAATTTTTACAACCCCTGGTAAGCCCCAATCAGGGATTCTGTGTCCAGTTCTCACTGTTGCTTCTTGACCCGCATCTAAGGTTTCTCAAGAGACAAAGAAGATGGCCTGGCGCTCCCATCTCTTTAAGAACTTGCCACAATTTGTTCTGATCCACACACTCAAAGGCTTTGGCACAGTCAATGAAGGAGAAGTAGATGTTTTTCTGGAACTCCCCAGCTCTCTCCATGATCCAGCGTATCTTGGCAATTTGATCTTTAGTTCCTCCGCCTCTTCGAAATCCTGCCTCTACTTCTGGTAGTTCTCGATCCACATACTGCTGGAGCTTGTGGGATTTTGAGCATAACTTTACTAGCATGTAGGCCCCATCGTGGTTATCAGGGACTTTAAGCTCATCCTTGTACAGCTCTTCTGTGTAATTTTGCCACCTCTTCTTAATCTCTTCTACCTCTGCTAGGTCCCTGCCATTTTGGTCCTTTATCTTGCCCATCTTTGCATGAAACGTTCCCTTCATATCTCCACTTTTCTTGAAGAGATCTCTGGTCCTCCCTATTCTATTCTCTTCTTCTATTTCTTTGCACTGTTCATTCTCTTCTAGCTCTTCCCTGGAATTCTGCATTCAATTAGGTCTACCTTTCTCTTTCTCCCGTGCCTTTCCCTTCCCTTCTTTCCTCAGCTGTTTGCAAAGCTTCCTCAGACAGACATTTCGCTTTCTGGCATTTCTTTTTCTTTGGGATGGTTTTAGCTGCTACCTCTTGTACAATGTTGTGAACCTCCGTCCGGGTAGCCAGTGGTAACAGAGAAAGAGATTTCTCTAGAAACTGCTGAAGATTTGAAGGATGGAGACATCAGATTAGGCAATGGGGGCTGTCCATATAAAGCAAACGGTTCTTAGAGGCCTTTCTCTATGCTCTACAATGGAGTTCCCCAACGTTTCTGGATTGGCGGCTGGAGGAAAAGGGAGGGGCTGGCACCTTTACACCCATATGTGCGAATGGGGCCGCAAGCGTGTGCACAACACTCACAGCAATGTAGCACAACTGTGCATGGTCATGCATGCGCTGGTCGTGCGGCCTGGTGGCCCATAGGCCACGGACTACAGGTGGGGGGGATCCCTGCTCTAGTCTCTAACTTACCTATTGGATCGGTTTGTTATTGTTTATTCTTCCCACTCAGCACATTTCTTTCTGTATAATACCTATTTTTCCCCCTCCAGATGAACTTGATGCGTTCGATCCGCGAGAGTATAACTGAGCAAAGGTTTCCCCAGTTTGTTCAGAGTTTCATGAGGACTATGTACGGGAACCCCAGCAACTACCCCCAGTGGGCTACGGAGGCGCTGGCCTCGGTCGGAATTAACCTGGAGTGAGAGACATCAAGAGACACTCCGGATCCCAGACCTTCCTTGGGTTTGGTTGCCCTTCCGTGGCTGATCCAGCCTGGCTTTCCCGAACAATTACTCGGGTAGTGATAAAACTTGAAAACTTCTCTCCAAGGAGAGGTGGAGAAAAGTTGAGTTCCTTCTCTGGCAGTCTATCCCAATGGCCTTGTCACAGTCGTTGGAGCTTAAATTAAATGTGTCCAGAAGTTCTTTGGTGTATCTCTTTTGTAGTTCCAGCTGATATTTTAAACTTCTCATTAAATTCTCTAAAATTAATTTATCCTGGCTAAATGGTTTGTTTGAATGTGTAAAATAACCTCAGTGCATTCTGTTTAAAACTTATCAGCTTAACTTTGTATCGTTGCCCTTGGGCTGTCGTAAAGGCTTTATTTAATAACAAAGGGAAATATAGAAGGAAGATAAAAATAAAGAAGAGAGATGAGTACATACGTAACAGCGTGCCTGCTCTGATTTTTCTATTTACGGCTATTTCAGTAGAATCACCAGTTGCCTCTATGCTCCTTGTCCCTGATCAACATTTCAGTTTTCTTCTTCCAGGGGAGGGGGGAGAATATGAGGTTGGCATTGGTGAACAGCACTGAGATACGTAGGTATCCTTGTTACAGGCAAGCAAGGGATTCACATGGAAAAATTGAAACTTGAGGAGGAGGATTGCTGACATCAGATACCAAAAGCAGAATTCTCAACTAGCGTCGCCTCCTGCTTCCTTCTTTTCTCCTCAGAAATGCTGGGTGTACGGTATGCCTATTCCTCCACTGGAATTGTTTTCAAGCTGGCTATCAGGCCACGAGCATCATTTGCACATAAGAGCCAGTGTCTTGTCTAAATGTCTTTGGTGCTTTACAGAAAATGGAGCCAGAGCTCTGCATCTATAGAAAATGAATTTTCAAGGGAAACTGAAATACATTTCTCACATGGACCCACATCAGCTCATTACTACAACCCTCTCTGCTGCTCTAAGAAATTGACTTGTAGCCCATGACATTATGCAGACAGGAGAAAGAAGTACAAGCATTTGACTCTTTGTTTTACCAAAAAGTCTTGCCTTTGCAATCCAGAATGTGAATTAATATCAGCAAAATGGTAGAGCGTTGCAAAAGAGCAGTGTTTGTATGACAGTGTTCCATTTGCCATCTTGCTACAACTAGGATGATTTCCTAATGGCTTCTTTACTGCAATAAATCATCGTCAAAGTTCTTGAATCTTTTTATACTATATTTTTATGCTAATTACAAGAAAAACAAAACAAATCATACAAATTTAAAAGTTAAAAAGCCTACCGAAAAGAAAAAAATATAAGAATATACTGGGAAAATGTTGTTGTGGTTGTTATAGATTTAATCTTCGATTCATAGTTTGGGACTGGTAACAATTCAAGTCTTAACAAAGGACCTCAGAGCTGTTAAGGTAACGTCTGAATATTTAGGCCGTTCCGAGTAAGGTGGTTTTTGCAAAGTTCAACATTTCCATGTATCTAGGCAATCCTTTGGGTATTGTTCCAAGGGCTCCTATTACTATTGGTACAACCATTGATTTCTTCCTCCACAATTGCTTGTTGTTATTGTTATTTACTTTATTCGTTAAACATGAAACTCAAGTCAACTGAACATTCAAAAATGTATCACAAATACTACTGACTGATGCTAATGGTTGATACGGGTTGCTGCCAGCATCCTAGGTATCGACCAAGGACCTTCTTAAGGTGTACGATGTTCCGAGTAGCAGGATTTTTCCAGTTCCGCTGGTGTTATTGCAGGAAGCTGCAATTTCTTGATGTATTCCATAAAATTCTTGGACATGGTACCAAATGTCCTGATGACAATGGGTATCACTGTTACATGTTTCATCCATAATGGCCCGGTCACGATATTTCGTTACTTTTTCCAGTTCTTTTTCTTCGACTTTAGTGTCTCCTGGTACTGTGATATCAATAAATTGTACGTTTTGGTTTTCGACAACTGGCATGTTGTGTTCCAAATAATGATTCATCTGTAATTGAAAGTCCCACAAGATCTTCACCTTTTCATTTTTGATAACTTTTTCCACTTTATGTTCCCATGACTTCTTGAATACAGGTAAGTCGTATTTTTACATGATGACCAATGGATTAATTTAGCAACTCGGCCGTGCCTAGCTTTGTAATCCGTTTGTGCAATTTTGCTGCATTCTGTTGTGGCCCATCAGCAGAGCTGGCAGCAGATTCGGATGGTGAAGAGGTTGGGGAGGAAGATGGGCCAGTCCTGGAGTCTGGGGAAAGCTTTGAGGAGTGCATCAGAGGCAGAGATGGGGCCAGGGCCATCTTGACAGTTGACAGTTGCCTTCAGAGTCAGACATCAGTGAGTCAGCTAAACAGCTGGAGCCTCTTCCCAGTGTGCGCATGCCCAGAGTTGTCAGATGAAGGGAACAGCTAAGGAACAAGGGTCGATTTGGGAGTAAAGCCACAAGTGGACGGTGAATGGCCCCTCCCATGGGGAATAAAAGAGGAATGAAAGGTGAGGGGTGTTTGCAGGAGACAATTAATTCAATCAGCCAATCTTTATTGATTAGCCCTTGGGCCATATCAAAGCACCAAGTTCCAGAGACAAAAACTACAGTTTAAAGTGAGATTGAAACAGACCACAATTTAAAATATAAATGGAATAAAATACAATTTAAAATATAATCAGAATAGAATGCAATAATTTAAGATACAAATTAAATATGCTTAAAATTATATTACAATGTCACCCCTACGTCTACCCCGTCAAGTGGTCTTTCCTACAGTCTACCATGTTCTGCTGCACCAACCTGGTCCTTATTTCCATCCACTTTACAGTAAATTTGGCAATCCATTTCACCAACTTCAAATTAGTACCTAACAAACAATGTTGCAAAAAGAGCTCTTTAGACTTAGGAGTGCTGGTATAAAAGATCCTACCCAACTGGTGTTCC